TCGAGAATAGTTAATCTCTTGAACAGGCTCTTTTTGTCTATTTCAACGAGTCACCGTAGAGAATGCGTAGAATTTCTTAATATCGATACAATTACCATGCACTGGTAATACTTCTCCGAGCATTTTACAAATTGATCGATCGAGGATCGATAAGTAAACGCGCGAAATGAATGAAATGAATGAAATGAATTCGGTGAACGTCTAGCGAAACGGAGAATTTCAAGAGCGAGATCTCGCTAGTAGCTGGCATGGAAACGTCACTCAGCTATCGACTCCGCGATGGAAACTTTGCTCGGGTTCTGGACAACGGATCGACAGATTGCAAATAACTTGATCCTCGTGTCTGGCTCGATGGCGTTTCCTTGGTGTCGAAAGACAAGAGAGAGTGCCTCGTCGATGGAAACCGAGGAAAAGGGGGGAAAAAGATGAGAAAGCACGGACAACTCTATCTAGCGACGAAGGCTCGCAAAAAATTACGTTAAACGGAGCCTTGATTACTCCACGATCGAAGGAATAAAGTGGTTCCTGGTCAGTTCTATTGACACTCGTCAAACTGTCCCTTAGAATTTTTCCATGAAAATAAGTGCATTCTTTTATTATAAAAAGGTTCGCCTTTTTTCTAGCATCGAGTAATAAATTTATAGAAATGACATGCTTCTGAAACGTAATGCAGAAACCAAGACTTCGCTGTCGTGAAAATAAAGGTACGAGAAAAGGAAAATGGTAGTGGAGTAATCGAGAGGATAATCGTTGCGGAGTCAATAGTAGAGTAACGAAGACATATACCATGCAGATCACAATTTCCAGCTCAGACATAATCACGTGGTCCCTGCTTTGACTGTCGATGTATCTGTGTGTATGGCATGTATAAGTATATTCTGGGTCATTGTGTTCTCGGTCATCCTGTCCCCTACGTGTCCGATATCTTTGTTACTTTTTTTCTCCCAGGTTGAAAGGGGGGGTTTGGTTGGGGGGGGTGGTTTGGGAGGAAGACACATATATACGCGACGTATATTCCCGAGGGGGTTGTGTGGGTCTAGGGGGGGTTGGGTCACACCGGTATCTTCCGCTTTTTGCTCGCTTCTTTTCTCTTTTCCTTGAAACTTGTTTCCCGCGCGTGGTCGTATACCGTTTTGTATGCGCGTATAATATCTACGTATAATATAGTGAAAGCTCGCTCAATATGTTCCGTAGAAAAGCCCGTGAAAGCAAGTAACACCGGCAAGCGACATCAGCCCACCGTAGCGACCCCTCGTCTATCCGAGAGGTTAATGCCGACACCAGGGTACGTATAATGTCCGCCACATTTATAGCCAATTCGTGTGCCGAGATTGCATTCACGAATTTGTTATGCGTACGTCTCTTTGTACGCGACCGGCTGACGCTGCATTATGCTTGTATAACATCGTACTCGACTCTTATATTACCTTCATCCAGCCCACTACGCTTCCTCCTTTCTCTATACACGTCTTCCTTAACTTAAACCCACGCTAGAACGCCCTGCAGCGACTTTAAAAATAGTCAGATACGAATTCATTCGTAAAAATTCTTGAAACTCGCGACAACTTGTATCTCAAAATTATAATAATTACTTGTTTTTTAAAGTCTGATCAACGTACGCATAACAAATCCTCTGAGCAGTTGAAAAGATATCGTGACACCGCTTTTAAGCAGACCTTCCACGATCAAACGAGTGCACATTATCGAAATTTATACTCCAGACAGTCGTGAAACCTTCGAAAAGTGGGTTCTTTGCTCGTAATTGTAATCGATGGTCCTCTCTCGCAATTTAGGAATACAGCATGTGAGAAACAAAGTGATAACAGAGATTGCATTAATTTTTCTCGATTAAAATTCTCTCGTACGCGCGTTAAAAAATTAAAAACGAAAAGGAAACACACGCGTGACTCTCGACGAAATAACTCCAGCGTACTTTCCATAAATCGTAGGAAGTTCGACAACTGCGTCGAGGCTCTGATTCGAACAATAAATCGTTCGCGTTTTATGTTCTCCACTCGCCGGTTTAACTTCCGCGTGGTATTATCACTAAAAGAGCGATCTTTGGCTATTCGTGGCGATTACCGAACTTTACGACCCACACTAGCCTTTCCACGATATTGATTATTCGAGATAAAATGTCACCGGTTTATCTTTCCCGGGCTGTCGAATATTTTTATGGACGAAAATCATTCTGCTCGATAATTCCACGCTTCCACTACAGTCAACGTTTCACGATTTAAAGAGTATTTCAAAATGAATAAAAAGGTGAACGTGAAAATGTGTTTCTTGTATCCAAGTCCACGTGTAATCAGTTAAACGAGAAACAGGTGTCCACGACGATCAACAAGTACATAATTTAACTGCTCGGGTCTCGAGAACGAAGCAAAGCTGTTCAATTTCTTTCCTACACGAAAAATTTACAGGTTTTGATTTCTTATTGTTGATAACCGATTCGTTTTTGTCATTTGTCTGCGCCTGTCTGATCAATAATCGACTTGGACTACTTGGACTATCTGTACGCTTCGCATGGCTGATCAATGGTTGATCTATACTACTTGTTCTCCGGTAAATTTCATATGGCTGATCTCTACTACTTAACTTTGGAGTGTGCAGTAATATAGCAACAGAAAAACATGTATATGTATATTTAAAAGCTTCTGATGGACTCGCGAAATAATCTGACCCCTTTTAGCTGACAAATTTGTTATATTGGAATCTCTGATTTCAACAAATGCGTTCCAACATAATTATTATCAAAATAATTTGAAAATTGATCTTACTCCTGCTGATTCATTTTTCAACTCTGCTTTGAAACGTATATTTATCGAGTAACTATTTACGTAGATTGGATTTCTCTTCGAATGATTTTCGATCAGAACAACTCTCGATTTATCAGCTTCCTTTGGGCAGAATGCGTCCTGTCAAGCTCTGCTTTGCAATTTCACGGCATCCGCGACGCAAACGATGCTCGTCGTTTCCGGGGGAAAAGGACTATCCTCCGCGATTCTTTACGCGCGCCGTGAAACGCGAGAGATCCAGTCGCGGGAAATTGTCCGAGGCGGCTCGTAAGTGAAATGAATTTATCATTCCGTATCCGAACAGCTTGGATGCGCGTGTTTCTGACGCTGCTCGTGAATTCACGCACGTTATATTCCCGGCGAGTCGAGCAAATTTACTCTCTGATGAAACACGTTCGTCCCTAGTTTCGCGGAGTCCAGGCAAGGGGTGGGGCGTTTCGCGAGAAAATCAGAGGTGAAACGAACAAACTCGGTTATTTATTATGTATATTCGCTCCAGCGAATATTTAAATACCCGTGCATCGAGGGTGAAAGTTAGGTTATTAGCTCGGTTAACTGTATATACGGCTGGCGAAGAAAATATGTGCATAAATGTGAGAATTGCAGGAAGCGGAAATTGACGGGGTACTTTCGAGTCGCGAATGAAAATACCGTGATTAACGATGGAACACTGTCTCGTGTTCCAGCATGCAGACGTTGTTCCATTAACGGCGATTATCTCAACTTCTACGAAATTCGGTTACAGTCGAGTTGAGCACGTTTAACGAGATTTAACGTCGGATGAAATCTGATACGCCATCGCGAATAAAACTAACGCGAAAAGATGAAGACGTTGACGTTTCGTTCATCAGGACGATTCTCGATAAATTATTCATAGTTACACCTTTGATTCCGTTCGAAGGGAAACATGATTTCGAAGCCTGGTTGCCATTAACGTTACAAACTACATCTTATCGCGTTTCCACCATGGGGAAACGATCAATTAATTGATCCGCGCGACGATAATAAAGTGATTTTCTTACAGTTCCAATTATGGCTGGCAGGTAACGTCGGAGCAATCGACGCGTCAATAACAAGCAGCGATCCTGTTAATGACAATTACGCCAAGTTCGCCTCGATTCCGAAATAATTGAATACGACGAGTCCTAATCTAACGACGGTTCACGCTATTACCGCATTTCCGAGTAGCAACCGCCCTGAAAGTGGAATACAATTAACGGAACCGCACTCGCAAACACGAGCTATCAGAACCCTGTTCGGGCATTAAATAATATATACGGGCATTTAACGTTACAAACCCCGACGAATTTAATTGTTGCGTGATCAACGACCTGGTTACTCGAATAACACGAATTTTCTATGGGAAATCCATCGTTATCGGTCAGACGTGAGATTCGTAGCCGACAAATTGCCTTCCTTAAAGGCAAGAAAAAAGTATGAAACACAGCGAGAGAGGACAAGCTCGTGTTCCTGATATCACACGCGTCTTTCCTTCGCCCCACACTTCTCGATGTTTCACATATGCCGGGACATGTGCGTGTATGCATCAGTATATACGTAAAGAATGTATATCGTATCGTACATTTATATACCTATATTATATATATATAGATCTGAGCTGAAGCTACGAAGCGTGAGAACGAACGGCTATCTATGGAGCGTTGCTATTGTGTTGCGCTGAGTTCTTGTGTCGGACAAAGAAGCCTCGGGAGGGATCTCATGGGCGTAGGATCAGGAGGACTTTTCTTTGCGCGGAGGTGGCAGGGAAACGGGTCGAATATCGCGGCAATAAGGACTCGTCGATGTCTGCACGGTCTCCAAAAGCGTCTCCATTTACGAAGCCCGACGCCACGGAGAGAATCATCGGACCTCCTCGCGACAGGAGCAAAAAACTCACTGGTCCCCGCGGAGAATGACGTCCTGGCTCCTTTAATCGCAGACTGATTACCACTTTCTACCAAAGTTGATCATTCCGTCGAGCAGTTCATTATCAATTGCAATTATCGTTTCGAATTCTCTTTGTGACGGGGTCTCGAGCGTTTTGGACGATCGTTGGCGAGGATTGTACGGGGACACGTTTTAACCCTTCGAGGATAAGCGCGTGGACGCGCAGTTTGAAGAATTCAGGACCAGTAAGAGATATTTGGTGCTCTGGTGTGTACTCTGAGCGTGTTTTAGTGTGTAGTGGAGACAGTAGTGTACCTGGTTGCCGTCGTAGGTCCAGGATCCGAACTTCATGTTACAGTGTTGGTCGTCAAAGGGGAACCAAGTGATGTCTATCTTGCATGTGCTCTTGAAGATGCCAGGAGGGACGTACAGGCAACTGCCATTATGCGTGACCACCACGTTCGTTTGGTATGTCCCATCGAAACCCTCTTCCGCACTAACGTGTTCACATTACATCTCCATTAATTATTCTCATCGGCCTTGGTCTCGCGGCGCTTCATTTTCTCCCACGTAACGCGTTTTATCGACTTTTTAATCCTCGATTTTTATCGATCGACAATGTCAAGCTCAACGATCAAAAAAATTTATTCAAATCTTTCGTTTCTTCCAAGGTGCCAAGATTTTTTTTTTTTTTACAATATTATACTATAATATAGAATTTTTTAGACCAATATCCCTGAACTAATATGTTTTCCGACCGTCGTTAGCCGCCTGAACAAAGTAAATTAATAAACGTTTCGTGCTCGTTGAAGCTGGCGTAATCTAAAATATCGTACATCGGGCTTATGCAAACGACGAACCGTCAAAGCCATTTTCGCGATTAATTCGCTTATAATCAAGCAGCCACGAAAATAAATGTAAATTATTCGCGATCACGGAAGATCGATCGAGAGTAAATTATGTACAATTATTTTAATCCCCTTTTCTCCTTTCAAAAGTCCAACTATTTCAATCCTTCGTAAAGCGCATTGCAAAAGTATTTCAAAGCTTTGATGAAAAATTAATGATAAAATTTAATTAACTTTCGGAGAGTTTGCGCATCAGAATTTTCGAAGGAATACTTCTTCCATATTTTCCGCGAGAAGCAACGTTCAAAGTCACGATCGATACTTTTTATTTACACGAACAGAATGCCTCGTAATTAGCGATTCAGGATCTTAAATAGTTTTACTAATTACATTTATTCGCGACTACGAAAGTTCAAAGGTCGGAAATAAAGTTCTGGTCGATTTTGCATTTAAATGGCGCGCGTTACATTTTCCAAAAGATTTGTCTATAAAAGCCGTTTATGATGTTTCGTGATGCATCCTGGGTAATACATTCTCGACAAGAGAGTAATATGCATCCTTTGCGCGAGAGCTAGAGGACATAAAAGTTTCCTGCGCTTTTATTTTCCGCAGCTGCGTATCTTTCTAACGTAACTCTAGTGATATGCTCTCTTTCGAGGAAATTGATGGTTCAAGAGATGTTCCAACATTTATGTCTCTCGCCTAATAACGTAACAACCTATTCTCGAATGTTTATAATTCCCTCTCTGCAGAAACGCGTAATTATCGCTGTGTAATTCTTCGTATAATTACGCCAACAATGGTTAGATTCGCGGAACGTGAAACGCGCTACAATTATTGATTTCGTTAGGTCAATCATTGTATAGTTAAATTTGGCAGATTCGCAATCAAAGTAGCGCGACTCGCGACAGCTCGATACACTCGAACGATCAGAATTTATTGAACAGGTAAACAGCTGTTAGAGATTGTCCGATTAACAACAATTACCACAAGTTATTAGCGATTTGATGTGACAATTATTGTTTACCCCGTAGTACCTACTCCAAAACGATATTACTATTACGTAACGGCGGATTAATTGTAGTTTCAAATTAGTTACTGTTAGGGCAAGGCAGCGGCGCCCTTGTCGGCTTGCAAACAACGCCTGACACATTATTAATATACTGTTAAATGCATGGTTTGTACAAAAGCCTGATAAAATATTAAAAATTACCAGTTTATTACCACCTATGCAATTTAAAGTAATTTAACGGTTCTTTGTTCATTGTCGTGCTAGTTTAACACCTTGGAAGATTAAATTCTGCTCTTTTCTCTGTCGTTTAGCTTGAACTTGCCACGTATTTCAACCCCCGATCGAAGCATTTTATCGCGACGAGTATTTAACAAAACTGTATTTACTTTTACGTTTCGTTTTTATTACTCGGTTTAGATTTTCACGTTTAAAGAGTGATTGACACGCGTTATTCCATAGCTGATTCGCGAAACATCGAAATTACACGTTGTGTCGATTATTATCCGTTTTGTCTCGTTGTTGCGTATCTCGTGGCTTCGTGAACAGCTGGGTGTCTAATCAATCCATGTTTTCTCCTTTTTGCCCAAATGCATCGAGCCAAGAAACTGAAGAAGATCCATTAAAAATGGAAATAGGCGTGTAATTTCATAATTTCTCGAAATTGCACAATACTGGACGAATTTAGTAAACAATTTGTGAGAAATATAGGCCATTGTACACCTTATATTTAAGGAACCAGTGCTTAGAAATCTGGTACAAAGAGTTCGTGATAGAAGGAGACTATTCTCGAGCTAATAATTACCAACATTAATTACACAGAATTTATTAACTCGTACGCTGTCAATCGCAGAATTTTCCCGAAGGTAATTTATTCTATATCACGCTTGAAATTTGCTTTCCATTTTATAATTAACAGGAAAAAATGTATAGAGCTTAATTATTATCGTTAAAAGAGCTCCACAAGTGGCGCAAGCACCGGACTGACTATAATAACTCGTATCGGTGATTTATAAGCAACGCAATAACTAACTTTAATGGCACTTTGAGGGCGGAACCTGACAAAGAATTTGAAAAAAGTTTAATACCGAGGCAACGACAGCTCTTTTTACCGGGCGAAATAACAGCCAGTTATTGTTGTAAATCCCGTGCTTTCATATGCATGCAAATTCAACGGAAAATAAGGACGACGTCAAAGTTTCAAGCGATTGCCAGCGTCCGCCATTACCGAATCAGCCGGGAAAATTTCAAATTTCGTTCTTCCTGTTAATACTTTCGATCGCTCGTACAGTTCCCCGGAAGTTCGCGACCAAAGTGTGCCGAACTACCCAAGCACTTTCGAGCACTTTCCTAAAACGAAATCCTGACATTGCCTACTTAGCGAATACACCATCGAAAAGTTTTCAATCGCTCGCTGATTCCTAACGAAATCGAACGTCCTCGTTACGTCCTCTTTCAGCTGCTGTGCTTTTATCGCTTGTTCGAACAAAATGTTGGCCAATTCTCGACGAGAGAAAATATTCTATTGGTGTAATTTTATGGAAAACGGAGAAGCGGCTGGTAATTGACACCAGCGAATTTCTCGGTTTTTCATACCGGCGCCTGTTACGCAAACAGCCGTCTTCCCTTTTGTTCTCGGGCAGCGCCGCGGCGAAACAATCGCGATGCGTTGCATGTATCCCCCGCGACTTTATCCCGCGTTGTAGCTTTCGAAAAAAGAAGTCGAGCGGAAAAACAGAGAGAGAAAAAAAAACTACGCTGGAAACGTTTTTCGTTCATATTTTGGGGGGTTTCGATTGGACCATCTGAATAGACTATTTTATTTTCTGATCAGATTTTCAGAAAAAGTGAAGCATCGACACGAATATTTCCGTGTAAACGGAAGGTCTGCGTGTCGGAGCGTGTAGCATAAATCGGCCTTTGCTGTCACAAAGCGCGCAGCGTCGTTTATGAATTCTAAGGGGGGTGCACTCTCGTCGATTGTTCTTTGCCACACGACGACGACGACCTTTGCACGATGGGCATTTTCTGGCTTTTTGGATAAACCCTGTCCTCCAAGATCGCTGACCCTTCCATCCTCTTTTTTTCCTCCCTTTTGTGCGACTGACGCTTTTGGATGGCGATATTCACCAGAGAAGAGGCGTCGAGCGCTGCGAGCAACAAGTAAGTCGTGCTAGCTGGGCTATTCTCCTCTTTTGTTTCGCGAGTAACGACCATCCCGCCCACCATTATCCACGGACATTGTGTATTGTTAAACGATATTAACGCGTTGCCCACTTAGCATCGATTCAACGTCGCGATTCCATCAAGCGTTCCGAAAATTAACGAAAACTCTGAACGTACACTCTGTTCTACAAAATTTCTACAACCTTTGACAGAAGTGGCCCATATTTCTCACAGTGAAGGATAAAACAGGTTTAAACTTGCACAAAATATGTACATGTGTATCAGGTTTTAGCGTTCTGTTGTAGACGAAAAGTTTGGCTCGATAAATTTGGGCGAATTTGGAAGCATTTCGTAGGAACGTTCCGAGTTAATATTCAAGTTCCAAGCCATCCAGAGCCAACGAGTCAGCTGTCTGCGCGGTCGTGTTTCTCGCGACAGAATTAACAGCGAATACACGAAACGGTTTCAACGGTAACTATCGATCTCGTCTTTGTGCCCGGTTTAGGTACGCGATTCGTTGGGAGTTTAGGTGTCGCGGCAGGGGAATTTAGCTCTGCCCTCCAAGGCGTTCCTATCGCCACGGATTACGGTTCTTCCCTCGACAGAAGACGCGCCGCGGTTTTAAGCGAAAGCCTCCCTTAGAAATTCGGGCGGTCGAGGTTTCATCGACCATGCCACGGAACCCGCTCTCCTCCACGCTTTTTACCTTTTCCCCGGTGCTCCCAACAACGACCAGACCATCCTGCACGCGCGCTCATGCGCCTGAACCGAGCCATGTTTCGAAATGTTTTCCGCCCCGTCCATCTTTCTTCTCAGTTTCTGCTCGCCCCGGTACAAACGAAATACCACTCGAATTTCCCTCACTGGGCTTTTTCCTGCCGTGCGTCGACTGCTGAACGATTGAACCGTAACGCATTCGATACACGTTTCTCCTTATTTTATTACAAAAGACGCGAAAAATATGTTCTCTGCATATTAAGCTTTGATTATGCAAAGTGTTTGGCCATCTACGGGAAAAATTTTAATGGGAGGTTCTAGAGGCCAATATGAGACGACAATCAACGATACTAATTTATTGGTTGAGGCTTTGTTAATAAGTTATGGAAACATTTCCGGCAACATAGTATATTTTCGGTAAAGAATTTTTTTCTCGAAAGTGGGTAGGATTTCGGGGGTATGTGTATTCACCAAAAATGATTGTAATTGACCCCCGCATACGACAATATTTTTTTTAGAACGATATGAAACTTTTAAATTTCGCCGAAAAATTTCAGGGGAAGAGGTCAACGCCTGGTCAGACATCTTCAGTAATTAATTTTTTTCTCGAAAATGGGTAGGATTTCAGGGGTATATCTATTCACCAAAAATGATTGCAATAGACCCCAGCATCCAGAAATAATTTTTTCAGAACGATTTGGAATTTTTTAATTTTGGCGAAAATTTCTCACCTTCTCGAATTTTTTTCTCAAAAAT